AAGTAGATATAGAAAATGATTTAATGTATATTAATTAATACGACTTTGTTGACACCCGATCGATAGTCAATTTGTATATAGGACATAGAAAACTTGCAAAATGACATTGAAATTTGCTTTCTCTATTTAATTGGAGGGATTACAATTGAGTTGCATTGTGGTCCTTAGCTTGAAAGGTTAATGGGGTCATATTCTTCATATAAATGCATGCATTCAATCACATTTGCAATGTCCTTGTATCGAGTATTGACCACATAAACTTGTACGAGTATATATTACATGATCATATCCGTACAATAAGGTCAAAAGGATATCTAAATTTGTTGATTTTAATTTTGTAATCATATACTAGTATGATGTTGCATAGACTTGTTCCACGACTAATAAGATGTTGATATATGATGATGGACTCTATAACAATGATGAAGTAACCCCTTTAACACTGACCAAGTAATTCCCATTATACTAGTGAAGTAACCCTTATAGTGGCTGGCCATACAGTGTGGCCAGCCACATATAAGACTTTGTGAAAATTTTTACCCCATAACTCTGAGGTATATGGTTTCGCCATGAAAAAAGGGGTTTGAGGTATGAGTCAGGGCTTGAATCTTGCCAAGTGCGGATGTTTTGGTGGAGATTTCCTTACCTTTTCAATTGCTGTTAAGTATTTAATTGGTCGGCATATATTATTGGATCGAAAAACTTGGATAAGTCCTCCTTATCATACAAAAAAATTTAAAAATGTTATTATAAAATCATGTATATATACCAACCCTATTTGATCGAGTTCAAAATACAATATTAACGTGACGACTAATTCTGAATGAATGGACAATTCGACAATAATATTACAGTAGGACATATAAGAATTTGTGAGTGAATCATCATGAATATATTTTTTTTCTTTTCACTATTTACTGAGCATGATACCATACAATAGAGATTTACAGCAACTTTAAAGATCCTCAATTTAGATAGTCAAGATCTTTGTTGCATCAAGTTGCAATTAGCAAGTAAATCCTTACATAGTATTAGATTAATATCTAATTGAGACGTGTTTTAATCACAACCTTGTGTAATAAAACATCTTCATATCATAAATCATTAATGGGGAACAAGAGATTATAAATACCAACATTTAATCCTGTAATTGGCCCCCCAATAGGCTAGAAAGTTCTTTCAAAGCTTTTTACATAAAACCTAGCTATACTATTACACATTAGTCATCCAGAAAGAAGTAGGTCTTCCTTGTCTTGATAAAGTGCTTGAAACAAAGCTACCACTACCATCTTTTCACTCCAACATACAATTAAGTAGACTTCTCAAAAGTTGACCCGAACTGAAAATCCAATTATTCGCTTGAATATTTTGAATCTTACATTTATTTAAAATGAACCCGACTCAAAGTAATTTTTAATTTTTTACATGTTGAAATTCAAAAACAAATTAACGTATAGATGATGATTATTTGAAAAACAATTGATGTATATTAGATCCGAATCTAAATCCAAAACTAATCCTATTTGACCAATTGATGACTTGACTAGTTTAGCTAGCTAGGTACAAATGTAATCACTTGACTTTTTAACACAAGCATGATATTTTGATATGCAAATGTGTCTAGTGGACTCTAGTCACATTGTTAGCATAGCATAGTATTGGTATAGCATGCATGGAAATTAGAATACTTTGCTGCCCCTAAAAATGGTATGATGACGAAGCATAAGATTGGTAAAAAGAGTGTATATGACAAATATAGACATGACATATTATACTGCATGATGCAATCCTATACACAAAAGGGAGACATGCAGATAGATAAGATTCCACCTTTTTTTTCTTTTAATTTTTGAGGGGTGGAGTAGGGATGTCAGTGGGGCGAGTTAAGTAGGAGACCCATCAGGGCGAGGTTGGTTTTAAAATTGTACCTACCAAAGCGAGGATAGTGATGAATATTGGACCTACCGCGGGGGTGGGATGGTGATGGAGATAGGATCGGAAGGCAAACATTCGATCCGCCTCGCCCATTGACATCTCTAGGGAAGAGGGTTGATTTTTCTTGCTATATAATAATAAAGAATAGGAAATTTTGTGAAAAACTACCTATTATAATCCAGAATTTGCGAGAAACTACCTATTAAAAAAATATTGTAATTAACTACCTAATTTTTTAAAAATGTTGTAATTTACTACCTTTACGTCGGATTATGAATGAGTTTGACCAAAATTTTCCGGCATTGACTTGGTCACGTGACACTTGGTGAAAGAAAAGGGTCATTAAGTGTCACGTGATGGTCACATGTCCAAGTCAACACCGGAGAACTTTGGTCAAATTCCTTCATAATCTGGCGTAAGGTAGTAAATTACAACATTTTTCGAAAATTAGGTAGTCAATTACAACATTTTTTTTAATAGGTAGTTTCTCGCAAATTCTGAACTATAATAGGTAGTTTTTCACAAAATTTCCTAAAGAATAATTAATTTTTTTTAAAAGTACAAGTAGTTACTTCATCGTAATTTTGTTAACTTCTCCCTTCGTTCCTTATTCTTTGGTTCAAAAACTTTGATTGTGAATTTTATTGATATAGAGGAAACACATCTATGTGAGATCTTATTATATTTGACAGTTGAACATACACACACACATATATATATAATTTTATCATTAACTTTCACTTTAAAATTTTAAATACTCAGCTTATACCAGTAAAACACAATTTTTAAAGACACCGTAAAAAGATAAATGATGCAAACAATAAGAGGCAATGAAAATACGTAGCATGCTTATTCGAAGAGATAAGGGTAAAAAAGACATTTCTCAAGGAAACAAGTATAATATATTAGGACCCCATAAGGTTATATTTGATCAAAATTTCTTGCTAGAAGCATATGTTGTTTTGTGCTTAACATAATTATAATTTGGAAGTTTCCTTCCCCTGTCCTAGAAGCATCAGCATCATGAATAAGAAGGGGTAGAGGACAATATTGTTTCTTCCCTATACCCTGAGGGCCAAAAGAAAAGATACAAACTATGTACATGTACATGAGGGGAAATTTAAATCCATGTCCACGTATGTATCCATTGTTTTTGAAAGCTAAATGTACTTGAATTGATATTTTTGTAAGCCACGGACTACGGTTGGAATTTGTTCGAATTTAGTTGTCATTTTTTTTATTTGAAATTATATTATTATAGTGATATTTTGCTTTATTGTATAGCATACTTATCTTGTCACACAATGTCTTATATGTGGCCAGCCACACCATATGGCTAGCCATTATAAGCCCAATTCGCAAATATGGATTTAACCATTAAATAAATATAATATGTTAAGTTTTTTCTATAAATAGTCAGAGTCATTTGATATAAAAAGCAAGGTAAAAACTTCTTAAAGGACAGAGGTCAGAGGTGTACAATTCACTAGTAGGGAAAATGTTTCAAAATTTAAGGTTAAAATCTTAAGGGAATAGAGTGATTCATGTGATGGTTCCATGTTTGGAAAGGTGTTGAAAATCTAGGAAGTAAATGAGTGAAGTGAGAATAATAGTGAATTCCTCTCTTTCATAATTTTCAACTAGTTGAAATGTCTATTTTGTTCGGGTTCCATAGCTTATTTCGTGAATAATTTTCAGATTAACTCCTATAATAATGTAAAATAACAAAATTTAAATGTATTTGGACTTATACGCTTTCTATGTCGTCAAATAAATAATACTCCTAATATATTAAACAAAATTAAACTACATACCTCTATGGTTATTTTAAAATTAATGCAATAGTGAAAAAAACAAAAGATTGTTTTCTTTATGCACAAAAAGCACACAAATAAACAATTGAAGAGAAAAATCCTTTAGTGATAATAAAAAATAAAGAAAATTATGTGAGTAAAAAATTTAGTGGTTGTTATCAAATTTATGGTCATTGTCCTGTTAACTTACTTAACTAGCAAGGGCCAAAAAGTTTGAATACATGATTATTTTTTTCTGTTGGGATGAAAAGGCCTTGTCTTTGTAAAAAATAATTCCTTTTTTTTTTTTTTGTATTTACATGACTATGAGTTCTCATTCATTTGGAGTGAGAAAAGGTAAAAACTAAAAAGGTAAAAAATTGACAATTCTGTATTGAAATCAGCCAAAAAGGAACTTGGGGAAGAAAGGCTGTCAAAAAGGGTGAAAACTATCTCATCCATGAGGGACAATGATAGACACCCATTCAAGGGTTATGTATAGTTTTTTCATCAAATGCTTGTACATTATCATAATGAACATCTAAAAAGAAAATTAAAATTAAGCGGCCCAATGAAAAGCAGGATTAGTATTCACATCATATGTCGCGTTATCAGGACCCAGTTTTAAGAATCTGATGTATTGGTAAAAAAGTTAATTATAACATTGACAAATTTATGTGAGTTTACTAGTTTTTGAGTGATGTGACTACAAAGGGATAATGCGCGTATATATGTAGGTAAATCTAAATCTAATCTAATCTCTTTTCACAAATCATTATTATGTTAATTGAGAGTTTTATACCTTTAAGTGCGTCTATTAGACTTTAGATTTTACATGTCATATCTATCACAGTTTTGCTACAATTTTGCATTGTACAGTTATTTATATTAATAAGTTAATAGTTCAAATATTTATTTTCAATTATAACAAGGACAAGCCATGAGAACAACTGAACAAGTTGATGGAAAAAAAGAGGGAATTTTAAAACATGTAAATGGAGATGAGAGTAAGTCACTATCTTTTCCTCTCACAATCAACTTTAAAAATAGTTAAATCTAACCCAAAAGAAAACGCTGGTTGTGAAATAAACACTAGATATTCACATTATGCACTCCTCTCATTCTCAAACTCACCTCCAACTAGCTAAAGCTGTCAAATTGGATGTTAGAACCGAATTTGATTGGGTTGGATTGGATTGGATTCGAGCAAGGATTACAACTTGTTGCATGCTACCTTAACAAAATAAACAAATAACATATACAAGAATAATAATCAAATTAAAAATTATATATATAAAAAAAAACAATAATGACAACACAATCATAATAATAATTCACACAAATATTTCATTAAAACCCCCCTTGATGAACATGTCATGTATATGGTCCTATTTACAATATGAAAAATGAAATTTATATTTAGTAAAAAAAATAAATAAAAAACCTCTATAGCACACAATAATTCACTTTAGGAGAAACAAATTAAAGAACAAGAAGAAGAGGAAGAATCAAGAAAAAAATTTCGAAAATTATAAATTAATATAATCTTCCTTGTTTAAAAATAAATTCCTGTTTTTCTTTTTCTTTTTTCCCGCCTCCATTTTTTTTATACTTAATTTTTTTTTATTTATTTTTTTGTTTAGCTCAGAAAATCTGACCAAATGCTTCAGCAAGCCGTTGTAAATCCTTGTTATACATATCAGTACCATGAAAACCCGACATCGGCGGCGGCGTTGACGGCTGCTGGCTTTGATGCCATGTTGTGAACGGCATTAGTGATGATGCTTCCGTCTTAATCTCACCATATGAAGAATTATTAGTAGAAGTTGTAGTTTGATGATGATGATTATGAGGGGCTAATAACAATGGAGTTGTACTTTGTAAGTAATCTGACCATTTAATTTCATCTGGGTTTGTACCATCTACTAATCCAATATTATTACTGTTAATCTGAATATTATTATCTTTGTTGGATTTACCAGAAGATGAATGATGATGATGATCAGTAAGTGTTGCCCAAGAAAAGCTGTCGAAAAACGAACCGGTGTTATTGTTACTCAGATGATCATTCATATTGTTGTTGTTGTTGTTGGTTGTAGTGTTAGTAGTAGTACTACCGCTCTCATGACTTGTACTGGTTGTTGTGGTTGTTGTTGTTGCGGCTACATCCATGTTCTGGTACCCGTTGTAGGCCTCCTTAGCGAGGTCGGTGCTTGAAATGAACGGGATTATGGAAGGCATCATGTTTGATGTGTACTGACAATGGTTGTTGTTGTTGCTGTTGCTGTTGCTGTTGTTATTGCCATTGTCATAATTTCGAGTAGGGGTTTGGAGGGACGAACCAAAGCAGATACCTTGTTGGTTCTGAAACCCGAACGAGCGGTACAAGGTATCAGGGAAGAATTCGTGGGTCGATAATGGTGGTGGTGCTAATGAAAATGTGGTAGAATTGTTGTTAGAGTTAGGGTGAGCCAAAGAAGAAGACATTGACAATGTTTTTGGTTCGTTTATTGGCTTATTATTATTAGAGGTTAGGTTTATGGGAGTATTATTGTCATTGATCATAGTAGAAACTGATAATCTATCAGCTTTTCTGCTGTTGCTGCTGTTGCTGTTGTTGTTGCTGCTGCTGTTGTTGCTGTTGCTTGATTTCGCCTTCTCTTCCTCGATTTCGACCTCGGATAATGGTTTGTGGGTGTTTGGGTCTATGCCTCTTTGCCTTAGCTTCTTCTTAAGGCAAGAGTTCCACAAGTTCTTTATCTCATTATCAGTTCTTCCTGGTAACTGTGCTGCTATCTGAGACCATCTGCCAAAAAATCACCAAAATTGTAAGAAGATATAATTATTGTAAAATAACATTATAACATCATCATTCGTGAACATTAAAAAAACCCATTAAAAATAAGAGAATGGAATCAAATTAATATATAAATAAAAAAAAATTACTTGTTTCCAAGAACAGCATGAAGTTCAACAATTAAATTCTCTTCTTCTTGTGAGAATGCTCCTCTTTTTAAATCAGGCCTTAAGTAATTAATCCATCTTAGCCTGCAACTTTTTCCACACCTTTGCAGACCTGCACAGATTAATTAAATAAATAAATATTATATTTATGTAAGCTCATAAAAGTTTAGGAAAATTCTTAATTTGGGTATACATTATTGTTATAATAGTACAGTGATCATTCACACATACAGAATTCATTTAATGTACACAGTCTCGCTTTCTGATACTTTTATCATGATCAGAAGCAAAAGTATCAGAAGCGAGACTGTTTTCCTGTTCCGTTGCTATTGATGGATAATAGCAACGGAACAGGAAAAATAAAAACTAAAAACTAAAAAAAAACACAAAGATAATTAAAGAAATATATATTAATGTACCTGCAAGTTTAGGGACGGAGCTCCAGCAACCATGGCCGTACTGGGTGATGTGGCGAAGAAGCTTCTCGTCTTCTTCAGGAGACCATAGCCCTTTCCGAAGCTTTTGCTTGTAGCAGCAAGAATGTCTACCCATATTATTTAAATTAATAAGAAAAAGTATATATCAATCAATTTTACAAGTATTTCTTATCTCTTTTTGTGCAATGCAGCTGCTTCTGGGTGCTAGGAAGTGTCACAAAATTTTTTGTTAAAAAATGAAAATTGAAAAAAAAAAATGTTTTTGTTGTTGATGTTTGTGTCAGCTTGCAGCAAACAAATGAAGGTTGAGACTCTCTTTGAAATGGACTAATAAGGAGATGAAATGAGGAGGAAGGATTTTTATTTTATTTTTATTTTTTTTTCTTTGAGAGGAGAGAGAGAGGACAAGGAAGGGTTGAGAAAATGAAGTGGCAGCTGGTAGGGAATCTTGGTTTATAGAAGAGCTTCAAGGGAGGAAAAGTCACATCTCCCATAATATGATTGAACTATTTCTATTTTTACTTTTTTTTTTTTTTTTTTTTTTTTTTTTTTTTTTTTTTTAGAAATTAGTATTTCTCGTCTCAATGTACTTGCCTCATACGCCTTCTATCTCATATTAACTGATACGCTTAAACTTTGCATACATGTTGATGCACAATTTAACCTTATTTTTTTATACTTATTAAATATAAAAAAAATTATTTTTTGAAACTTTATAGTAATACCTATCTAACAACATATTTTATATTTAAATATGTTTTTAATATATTAATAATATATTTTATTCAAAGTTACTATATGAATAGTAAAAAAAGTTCAATGTCCCAGTTATTCTAGGACAGAGGGAAAACTCATTAATAAAAGGTTCTATACAAGTGAAAAAGTAGAGTGAAAATATAGATGGGTGAATATGAGACCCAACTCAAGAGAAAGAGTATTGTATTTTAAAAATATGAGTTCGAGATAAATAAATTGAAATACTCAAACTTAAGAAAAATGAGGCAAATAAATTAACACAAGAGAGTATTCTCTTCATCACAAAGCTATTTTTTTAAAAACTTTTTAATTTTCACCCGTCTTAATGGTCGTGTCTCATATAATGTTAACTTAGCTCTACGATGAAGAAAAAATTACTACTCTAATATAGTAAATAGTATAAATGTTTTTTTTTTAACCATATTTATGATTAACTTCCTTTCCTATTTTATTTTTTTACTTGGATATAGAAGGAGAAGGGTGGAGATGAAGAGGTACATCAAAAAAAGATGCAAAAGTCTTATCAAAGGTTTGAAAATAAATGATCTGGGGTATCCCCTGCCTTTAGTGGGGGCTGATGATATTTCAATGTAATTTACTGCAAATAAAATTAGGATTAGCTTGTATTAATTTCTTTAATTTTTAATTTTTTAATTTTAGAGACAGATAATGTCCTCTTGGGATCACCAATCTGTACAGATTTCTTGGTGTCCCAGATTTTGTAAGTCCCTACATGCAACACTGCAACTCTCATTTCTTTATTCCATTACCCTCACTACCTCTTTTTTTAATTAACTTTTTTTTTAATTTTTTTTTTTTTTAATATATAGTAATTATTTCCAGAAAATAAAAGGTATAGAAGTATGCATCTATGCCATCCAATAAAAAAAGTCAAGTGAAACTGTTAAAGTTTGATGGTAGACTTTCAAGATTTTTACCCTTTTAATTTGATGGCTTAATATGATAGTTTATATAAAATATATTCCTGGGTTTCAACCATCTGTTTAACTTTTTAGTTGCAATGATCTTCTAATATGGTATTAGAATTAACGTGATATAAAGATCACGGGTTCAAATCTCATCTACCCCCACTTTTAGGTTAAAAATAGCAAAAAGATGTAAGTGTTGCAAGTAAGCTAAAAAACTACTCATAGTATATATTTAATCTTTCACTAAATCTTTATGTAAATAAATTTAAAAGGGGTTAAAATGTCTACATGCTAGTATTCAAAATCTTTTTGGATAGGGGTTTTGAAAATTTATCTAACCTTTTTGTGGCATATTCCATCAAACATGCTAATTAAAGATTTTATTAGTAATTGTATCAATTAACATTCATACAATTTACTTTTGTGCATGGTCAACTGAAATTAAACCATGGTAAAGAATATTGGATCGATCAATTTCATGGGGTGGGATTCCATGTCTTGGTTACTTTTTTCCAATCTAGTGGCTATTTGACTATTAAGTCGTCCCGTAAAGTTTACTTCTTCTGTTAATAAATAATTCTCATTTTGTGATTGATCGTTAATCCAATACCCAAATTGGGCTAGATGCTATAGTGAATAATGACCAATAAGCAAAGGAGAGAAATTTGAGGAATAATGGTTGGTTCCCACTCAATCTACAAGAGATAGCTATGGTAGATCGAATCCTCAACGTAGAGATCGAGTTGGAGGGTTTTGGAAAGGTTAAAGGCCGTACCCAATCTAGAACTCTATAAAGCTCCCGAGTTTATTAAGAAGACAAATATTTATATAAAATTGGTTCATATATAAGAAGGTAAAAAAACATCATTTTATACATTATTATTAACAAGTCCTATGAAATATCTAACAATTTTATTGTAAATTCGTCATCTATACTTTTTTTTTTTTATAAAATATATAATAAATAAGAAAAGGAAAGAAAGAAAGAAAGAAAGAAAGAAAGATAGCATTACCTTTCCTTAAAGGCATCATAAAAGAAAATAATACAAGTTCTATTCATTTGCCCTATTTTCAAACAAGTCTATCCTAGAGTCTCTTAATCCAAAATCAGGCAGAAGATTCCCAAATTGGAAAAATATTCTCCCAAGCTATAACCATCTATGATTAGCTAACATGGGTTTGATTTGGCTTCTTCCATTAATTGTTGATGATAACCCTTCCATAATCCTAATTAATATTTAATTAATTAATCAAATTATTAATTAAAAGTGTGTTTATTTATACACCCACACGAAACTGAGACTACCCTCTTCTTTAATTCTCTTATTAATCCCCCCTCCTTTTCTTGACAAACATAGATTGCAGAAACTATTAAAGTAAATTGACCTTTATATCCTTTACTCACACTTTTCATTTTTTGGATAATTTTTCCAAAACCATCTTAATCAAACTTATTTAGGGAAATATAATAATTTTTCCTAGTAATTATAAATAATAATTCATTATATAGGGTTACATAATTATTTTTTAACATAAAGTTTTTATACCATTTTTGTTACAAAAACAATATACATCATTCTTAGATTAAAAAAATAAAACACTGCCCATAATTTCTGCTTCTCTATTGTTTTCTTTCTAATTCTCTAAACAAATACAGCTTCTAAAATATCATGAAAATTAGTATAAACAAATAAATATAGATAGGACATAATTGCAATAATGTAGTTGTGTCCTATACTGGATTTCACTGTGTATAGATAATAGAGACAAAATTTAGGTGGATTAATACAGCATACATGGTATTACATAAGTTGCTAATTTTGTTTTGCAGAGTTAAGTATACTTTTATACAATAGTTATTTCACCATTAAATCATTATTACACAACAATTAGGAAGTTCTAATTTGAAAAAGACTAGTCTTAAATGTTTGTTAGTTAAGTAGAGTAGTTTTAAAATGCTACTCATCTCATTTAATTAACGAGATAATCTTGAATTGTTACTTTTTTTTTTCCCGAATTGGACAATGATATTTATTTCACGGGAGTGCATATTATTCCTACTCCAGTAAATTTTATATTCACTCGTAATAGTTATATTATATTGTATGAAATACGGAGTACATTGTGTAATTATTTATAAGAGTTGTATCTATCTAGTGGGAAAACAAGAGGCACAATTTTAAACTGTTACGAAATATATTTTAAATATAACTATTGTCTCTTCATCTTACGGTAAAGAAACTTTTAGCGGTTGAGATTCTAGCTCTGACATCAGCATAAATTGTATTCATTACTATTCAATTGAATTTCAATCTAATAGAACTATTGGAATTGCATGTTAAATTAGTTTTGTATGTGCGATCGAGATTTAATTTAAGATCAATTTTAGCTTGACCTAGTGTGAGTTTGAAAATCATGGCCATTTGCTTACATCCTCCTCACAAATTGAGTAGATGAACTTGCAACCATAATTATTGGTCAAGTTTTCAACCATACAAATATTGTGAAATGAAGATGCTTTACAAGTTTTCTACTTAATTAATTTTTTCAACCAATGAGAACCATATCATAATGTTACATAGTGCTTGCTAATTATTAAGTGGATTTTACTAACGAGAGAGTAATAATAATAGATTTAGCCAATTAAATCACATGCGTTTAAAAGGAAGACCTAATTTTGAAACTTGTTTATTTACATCAAATGCAATTCAGATGAAAAATATATAATAGGGCCCTTCATAATTTTGTTCATGATAAGTAATTGATTCATATCATCATTTGCTCAACTTTATTTCACAGTGTTTTACGCCCATAAGTCTTGCTAAACTGAGCAATCACAAACCTAATAAAGCGTTACTAGCATGATATTAACCCAACTAGAATTATATACCTTTCAAATAACAAAATCATTAGCCCAACCTTCTATTTATTCGATCCATTAGTTAGTTAGTAATACGTTTTGCATGTAAAAAACCGCGAGAAGACACAAATTATTAGATGTATATGAGAATATATGATCTCACATGATGTATTAACTATTTAATGGAAGAATTGTAATACAAAGTGCACCTCTTAACTAGGATGAAAATTGACCTACACTAGTCATCACCATCATCATTATAGTGAAAATTGACATTATATGTTTAGCACGTATTTGGTAGGGAGCGAATTTCACTTGAAGGAGCATATAAAGATTACGTATTAAGTAGAATTTTAATTTATATGTCAATCAAACAATTTTAATCAGCTTAGTGATATGATGGGCGGCCATGGACTATTGTAGTTCGAGTCAAATTAAATTAAGCTTAGATTATAGGTTGTATTAGCTTGATTGTAGAGTGATGTAACTCAATTCAATACAAATTGAGTTTGACATATTTTAGTCTATCATATAAGGCTCAAACAGCTCGAAACATGTAGTTTCTCTATTAATCACCACTTAAAGAACGTACATAAGCTTTTGATAATAGTAACACAAGTATAGGACGTGCATGGATTAACTAGAATATAACTAATTGAATAATTAATTACATAAAATTAATTAAAGTCACAAAGTATTAATTTGCAAATTAAATATAATGACCCACAAAAGCTAGCTTATTCTTGCGTAATTACATACGTGATATCATTGCCAACAAAGTAAGAGGTACAAGCACATGAAAGAAGATATAAATAAGCATGGGCGTATACAAACATCCAAATGAACTATATTAGAATAATTAAAATCTTCATTCAACTTTCTAATTATTATTTATAATATGATTATAATCCAAAGTTTGAAACCTTATAATATAACTCTTAAACCTTTGTCCTCCAATCATTATATATATTCTCATATATATATTTTTTACCTCCATTATGTATTATTAGTTGTCCCCTTTTTCGTTCTTACTATGCTAATATCATATAATATGTGATGAAGGTTCCTTTGTCTATTACAATAAATCATATTTAAAAATTACTAGTTGATTAATTTAAAACTAATTAATGTTTACAAAAAT